GCGTTACCCCTGACCGGTAAAGCAATCTTTTTATATACAGGATTCATTGTGCGATACTTACAATAAATAATGAGTCATTGTATCAGTATGAGTTCCATCATTGTCCTTGCACCACTGAATTCGTCGCCATGTCCTCTTATATCAATACACCTTGCACTGCATTTGTCGAGTCACTTGTGCGAAAGCGGCCACCGCTGCAGCCCGCAATTCTTCAATCGTCCTATACCGGTTTATCGAGACTTTCTCATTGATGAATCCCCGACCAAATACCAAATACATGTCACAAAGGCATTGCTGCCTATATGATCACGTGTGGAGGCTTATGCTCCTATTCCAATGTGAAATGTGGATTTTCCGCATGGGTAGTGCATCTTTCCGGCCACCCTATTGATTAATAGTGCATATTTCATCTAATCTGTTGGCATTTCGTATTTACCCTGAGGCACTTAAAGTGAACGTCTGCTGCGAGTATTCGCGAGCTGTTAAATTTTCCATCGCTGAGTTAAAGGTATTAGGATACCAGTTCCTTTCATGTGCGATCGTTTTAAGCGGGTACCCGTCATTTCAAGCGCGGGAAATGATTTCAAAGTCAACCCTCGATATGGGAACCCTCGCACAGCAATAAGAAATCACTTCGACACAGAGCGATCCTCGATCGAAGAAGATCCATGTTTGGCACGAGCATCTTATTATTAATAATACATTATGGAATGATAATTATTCAGATAACAGAGTAGCGGTTGTGCATTGGATCGGGCAAATGCACAGTACCATGTACTAGTACGTGCCCGTCCGGAAGGTTTGCACGTGGAGAGACTGTCCCATACCAAGTTCTGCCTGATAGATTTTTGTGAGGGCTGTTGGGAGAATGGAGTAAAATCTTTTAAAGCGACGCAGTTTGAATCAATTTCTTGCACTCTTGACCGAGTAGCGAAGCCAGGAGGGGCTTTTTGAAGCTTTCCTTTCGGCCAGTCGAGACACACCGTCTCCAGAGTGTGGTTCCCGAAGTGTGGGGAAGTATTTCAAACCGGAGGACTGGAGGTTAAACAAATAGCGTGCGCGATTCTGGATAGCTAGCTAGACTGAGCGACCATTGATTCTTTTTTTGTTTGTGTGTGTGTGTGTGTGTGTGTGTGTGTGTGTGTGTGTGTGTGTATGTTTGTGTGTGACAGCTATACATCCCATACGGTTAGAGATATGAACTTTGGGTTTCGACAGAACTCTTCCTTACCACCCGAGGATGTGCCTTTACGAAATGAAATTTGCAAATCGGTCATAAGAAAGGGAGGGGAGGCAATTTGTCATTGGAAATCGGCGTTTAAGTCGTCTCGCCATCTTCCGGATTAACATGGAAACGAGAGTTGCCGTGGTTCTGGAAAGAGAACGCTGGCATCACTCACCTCAGTACCTCCCCCCCGCTACCGTGAATTCAGGGATTTCAAGGGTCTATGAGGAAATATGGCGCGATTCCTCAGCTTGTCGCCACATGTGTTCACACGATCTTTCGCCAATAAACTCTTCGTTTTTTTCCCATAGCTCTGAAGGCAATTTTGCATAATTGCACGAAGAACGAAAGGAGGTCGGCGAGAGTGAGAGTTTTTCAAAGTGTTGGATTGTTTTCCCGTTTTGCAGTCACATCGGTAGACGAGGAAAAATACAGGTTTACTGTTTGGGTGCCGAAAAAAACAGCAAATGCCGTGATTTGCAGCTCGTCCCTCTGCTGTATCCTGCATATTACTTCGTTTCCTTCGCCTTATTTTCCTTCCCACTCGACTCCTTCGGTCCATTCACTGATCGAGTGCCGAAGATTACCTCTGGTCAAATGAGACCTGCAGGCTTTATATTAATACATATGACACTGCCCAAGTAGCATATAAACGTTTCTGAGGACGCTCAACATTTTTTCAAAGGTGTCTTTGGACATCCATTGTACCAGAATGAGCACCTTTTTAGAGCTCAATTAAGGTGTCTCTTAGTCTCGAAGCATGCTGCATTTGAACGACATTCGTCGAACGTTTAAGATGTTTTCCTGAAGCATATCAGTGTTATCAATTTGACATTTGCTTAAAGCAACGATTCGCAAAACCGACGATAGATGGCGCGAAAGTAGTCGCTATAGCGAGTCAATTCCTGATACAGCTGGAATTAGTCCCCAATACTTTCCACAATGTAGCTGATCTTTCTCCACATAAAGCAGAGCGGAAGATACTCGAATTCGTGAATAAATCCGTCATTAGAGGTAACCCAATTCAAGGAGTTTCCAGAGAACTCTGGCTCGAACGATAGAGGAAGGATTGTTCAATTTCAAAGGTGACTGCATGAAAAATACCTTTCGCATACTACGTCATCTCTTACATATACATTTTGTATTCCTGACGAGGATGTCTGACTTGTGAATATGAGAGATCTGAGGATGAGATTAAAACTTCTATTATAAGATTGGGAGAGTCTCGTGGAGAAGCGTGAGAAAATTCAGTGTAGTATAGTACCTTCAATCCAATCAATCGTCAACATTCAGGCTCTTAACACGAGCCACGTGAGCAGGGCTCTACTCTGACTGAATGCAACTTAAGTGAGGAAAAGAACGTATCCAAAAAGTTGATTGCATATCAAATGACTCCTAAAAAAAGTTTTATTCAGCAGTTTCCCTACAAATATCTAATTCACGTTGTTGAAGGAACGCATAATTTGAACTGTTTTTCTTTACTTTGAATTTTGAAAATTTAAGCAGTTAATAGGCCGTTTCCAATGACATTAATGGAACGATGGCCATAATTTGAATGAAACGTTCATTGAACACGTTTGGGGTCTTACTTGGGTGGTTGTTTCTAAAGATCATGGTGATTCCTTCCGCGAAAACAGAGTATTTCCTTTCCTCCGGTTTGCAGCAGATTTTACCTGCCGCTAGGAATACATGCAAATAAAATAATTACTCATATCCTTATAGTGATTACATTTGAATGCTTCAAGAGTTCGAAATGACCCATTTATTCACTTACATCACTGGGAAGGTATTGATGTCAACATGATATGCGTACTGACAGACCACAAAGGATGCGAATGGAAATTCTAAAAAGAAAGCAGTGAAGGCATTAAGATTTTCCATAAGGCATTTTTGATACGGTCGGGGCGAAACTTCCAATAATATCTCCCTCGATCCATGAAAACCTTGAAGCGAAGAAGGAGACTATGATATTGTTTAAGCATTTACCATTAAATTTGGTCTAACAATTTGGAAACATCTGCTTGCTAAAACTCTTAACTCCCGTATGACTTTAATCGATACCTACATGAGAGCTTTAATTTCAGGAGAAAATGTGGGGTCCGCTCATATGTTCTGTTGCCCACCCAAGAGGAAGTATTTTTCAGCGGCTGCAAGGGTGGACGCACCAAGAAATATATAGGCATCGTAGTCTCAAGGTAGCATTATCATTTAAATAATGATACCGCGGAATGATAATACCGAGTGCGCCAAAGACGGTAATAAATGAAAGCCATATGGTGCATTTGGACGTGCGGTTGATGCATGCATGCCGTCTTCTAAGTAGGGTTCGCACACCGGATGAAAGTAATCAAAAACCTTGTCATCCAGTATTGAGACTCAGCCAACGTTCTTCAATCTGTGAGCAGGCTCAAGTGATTCCAGAAACATTGCTTGTGGAAGATCACTTTAGGCTTTTCCAGTTGTAATACATTGCAATGAAATATATGGTGTCATTTCGATACAGCCACGTTAAACATTAGCCATGATTAGGATGGCTCAATGAAATTCATTCGTCTGACGTTTCCGAGAAGCGTTCAAAATGTAATTATGCTCCTTCATTAAGTTTGCTGTGAGGCAAGTGAAATCAATTATATATATGCAGTTACCATTACGAAAATATATTATGTGTATCACGGAATATTTTAAATGTAATGCTGTAAGATTCCAGAAGGATATAATGTAAATGTTACGTAGAAATATTAAAGGATCCTATATGATTACCATTCACTTTTTCGTCAATATATTAAAATTATTCCCGGAAGTTCGGAATGCTCCTCTGAATGGGCTACCAAAATGCAGTCACCCGTGGGAGAGCATTGAAAGGGTTGGTGCATGTCCTGAGGCATGTCTTTAGACTCTTCAACGTTTTCTGAATTTCTTGAAATGGTTTCTTTCTTAATGAAGAACCTTGCTTGGAAGACCTTAAATTTCGATTCTGGTTTTGTGTTCATTGTTCCAGAATATGGGAGAAGCACGAAATGTGCTTTTGGACTTGAGCCTGAATCTTCAAATAATATTTTTATCACCAGTTACAAGCACGTTCACTCTGATGGGATACGGGATTGGGTGTGAGAACGCAAGCACGGTCATATGTCAACGTCATATGAGAGACACTCAATGAAATATAACATCAAATAGACCTACAGAAGATTGAAAGGTATTTAAAAAAAAAGCATTGTAATCACGGAAGAATACTTCATGAATGATTGATGCTTGCTGAATGCATATTTCCTGTAACGGTCATTAGGGTACAGTATTCTGGACATCAAGTTCGCATACAATTTGGCAATGTTTCCATTATTGATGTCCTCTCATTTTCCAGAAGCGCGAGGCACTGCAAATGTGGCTTTTTCCCTTGACTTCACCATTGTAGTGTGATCGTCGAACAGGGGTTTGCTCCCAGGATGCGACATTCCAGACAATAGATTGGCAAACAACTGCGCAAGTTCTGTATCCATTCCGGGTTGAGGTTTTGCTTTCCCGGAAGCGATTGGACGAGCATAGGTGGTTCTTTCAATGACGCCAACAAGTGCGGGGGGTATTCTGGAGCTCCTGAAGCGTTGGCTTTGCAAACTTATTGAAGAACTTCGAGCATTTGTGATTCTTGAAGAAATTAAGTATCCCCGGTCTTCCGACGTCAGTGGGGCCCCATTCCTGCTTCAAAGAGTTGATGGCTGGGTCTGTGAAATAGCATGCGTCATTTTGGTCGCCAATGACTTGACGCACACCTTGAAAGTCACAGATAATCAGTTCTCGCGTCTTGTGCTATGTGCAGTGAGTGAAGCAGTGGAGCAGTGTATCCGTCAAGGATGTATCCTGAATTGGAGGTGAATTTCTCGTAGCGACCATATATAAACGGTTCCAGGGCCACTTTTTCTCCCTATAAAAGAGAAAAATGTAGCTGGTCAAATCAGATGCGATATGCATGCGCGTATATATATGCACTTAATGGGATTGATTCCTGTTTCAAAAATATTCCAGGAATCATATGCATGTTACACATAATACGATTTTAATGCATAATATGATGAATATTTTTTCAAATATTAATAATTTGTCAAAATGAAGCGATATGTTATTTCTATTGGCGGTAACTATTTCCACATCCGCATCAGTTGACTTGTATTATTATTGGCTTTTCAGTGTATATGTAGACCACTGATGGAGGTAGAACATTATTTTTTCCCATTGTTATGAAATTAAAAAGGAAAGATAAAGTATGAAGAAATTTATTTATTTTTGTCTAGTTTGATTGTACATTGCAGCATATGCGAAGACATGATACACTTACAGGGTGGTCCACAAGTGTCCCCCCAAAAGTAAAAGCTTATTACACAGGAAGTATGCATCCAATTTCAATGATATATGGCTCTTATGATAGCCAATCATACATTTTTTATCGTGAAAATTTTAAACATTTTCTATCAAACTGAAACAGAGTTCCATCCTCATAAAAGAAAGCACCTAAATCACTAGTGTTCAATATGACTTTCACAATTTTCAATGACTCGGTGCAGTCTCTCTTTGAATGCCAACATACTTCTTTCGATCATCTCTGATCCTTCTGGGGCGAAAGCATCTCTAATGGCTTGTTTCAGCATATCTAGGTAGTCATAGGTCCACCGATGAACCTCTTCAGGTTCAGAAACTTCTAATGAATTGCCTTCATGATCTTTTCATCAGGAACTGAGACATTTGTACCCAATCTGAAGAAACTTCCAATTGTTCCATGCACAAATTTCCATTCTTCAAATTATCAAACCAAATATAAATATTTATTTTCTGCAGGATGCTGAGGTCACCCATGACACAGACAATCCTTTGCAATGGATGAAAAACCCAGGAATGAAATGCGAGACTCAAGATGGAATTTCGAATTTCAGAAGGGATTGTAATATTTACAGCCTTTAGCAGCACAATACGGGCACTTCCATTTCTTATTGTGTAACTTTGTTCCAGTTTCTTATAGAATGCTGGAATTTTCACAACAAAAATATATTGAATTGGTAATCATTTTATTCATATATCATTGAAATCGTATGTATACTTTCTGAGTAATAAGCGTTTACTTTCGGGAAGAAAATTGTGGACCACCTTGTATATACATACCCATTAAGTTTCAAAGGAACCACTACACAGAACATGAACACGTTATTGGTAACTGTAAGAACAAGAACAAGTACCCAATAGAGGAAGTATTAACTCTACTAGAGTCTCACTAATGCTGCACGCAGTTCCAGAAAACCCATCTCTTTTCAATCATGAGTGTCACTTTGTATATATATGTTTTTTGTCACTCTAATTTGTATATATATGTTGTAACTAAGTAGTAACAATAACTAAACCATCCAATTTAAATTAATCAACAGTGAAGTCCATAAACTTCGCATCCCGTTAAACTTTCCCGATTTACAGAGGCATGCCCCATCCTGTCAAGTCAATGCCTAAATCGTTCGTAAATAGCAATAACTCACCTTCACAAATACATCCTTCCCATTCTTTTGGAATGCACTTCTCATTGAATGAAGAATTGGTTGCTTGAAAATGATAGGATGGTTCAGCTGAACTTCCATGTTGAACTGATCTGCAAGTTCGCGAGCTTTCAAGTGGATTTTCACAAACATACCTATGTCCCAATTTGCATTGAAGAACTGGGGCTTGAACGATTTCAGGACATAGGCTTCCTTTGAGCCTGAAATGAAAATGGTTCAAGTCCATCATAAAATTTTTGGTTTACAGGAGTCCTAACCTGGAGCAAAATTGACCGTAGTATTTACTTTTGCAGAACAGGTATTTTTGACATTTGGGAACTAAATACACAAACCAAAAAATGTCAGAAATGGTTGCCATTCGTGATGAATATGCTCAATGTATGCAACTATTTCGGCATATGAGAAGAACATCAAAACAAACTCACCGTCTTTTCGTGTAGCAGCCACTTTGAAAACATCTCAGGTGGATCCCGATGAAAATGGAGTTGGATTGATCACAATGGATCTGATGATTTCATCGCTGGATGGTTCCTGACCCATCATCTTACGAAAAGCGCATTGGTAGCAAGCATCATATTTGACTTTGTATGTGGGGCAGTGCACTCGGTCTCCCACACAGCTCTCTCGACATTCATTACACGTGTAGGTGACATAGGCTACTGTGTGTGGATGGTCGGGCTTGCCATCAACTCCAATGATGCGGGATATGCAATGGTCGAAGTCGCACTTGTTGCAGCAACGCCATCTTTCATCATTGGAGGAGAAGCTATTCTTGCATCGATCGCAATTCCAGATGGGCAAGAATGGCTGGTAATCAATGGACATCAATGGATGTCCACTTCGGCATGACATCCTGTTTCCCATGTTTGGCGACTTCCGGATCAGTGTACGTCAAAGGTTAATGAAGTCATGTGATGGCGCATATCTAGATGAATCGGACACCATAAACAAACACGGTGTAGCTTTCAGTGTCCCAATGAAGAACTGATGTTGTGAAATAAGCTGGAATGCAGGAGAGGTCCAAAAGATAAGCACCTTGTGACGTACTGTTTCACCCTGCAACGTGACCTGATATATATATTAGTATATACGCCACAAGTCACGTGTGCAATAGAAGACAGACTCGAACAAAATTGATCAAATTCGGTCACAGTCTTCATTCAAGTAAACGTGTGCCGTAAACGTATGCCTTAGGAGATGTAAACGTCTGCCCAAATTAGATCGATTGGGCAAATTGGGGCACTATGAACAATGTTCAGCTTAAACCACTCAGAGCGTATACACGCCATGTGAATCTATGTACGATCATTGGAAGCACTACATTACGCGATGCCACTGCCCCTTGACAAGCACCACGCCAACTCTCGTCTCCTCGTCCTTCTTAAAGATGGCGAGACGAGAGCGAATCTATGATTTTCCATGAAAGTTGCCGATCCGCTTTCACGAGGCCGATCTGTAAGTGTTACATCGCAAAGGCGCATCCTCGGGTGATACTGATGGTACTGTCTTCAGTTGTCGCCTTCAGCAATCCTGGCCTGACCTAACCGATTCAGACTTCTGGCGTTGGGGCTAACTCAAGAGCCGTTTTTACCGCAATACCCCCATCACGTGCCATGAATCAAAGGAGAACATACGACAGGAAATCAACACTGTACGAGGGGAAGCTGAAAAGTTCGCGACTTTTCCTAGAAGAAAACGCAAATTTCGTAGACTGAATCAATTTTATTCAACATAGTCACCCCTCAACTGTACACACTTGTTACAACGTTCCTCCAAGTTTTGCAATCCCCGCAAAAAGAACTCCTTAGGTTGGTCCGCGAACCAGATCTCTGCGGCACCAATGACCTGATCGGAACCAAATCTCGTCCCCTCCAGGTGTTTCTTCAACGCTGGGAAGAGATAATAATCCGAGGGGGCAAGGTCCGGCGAATAGGCAGGGTGGTCCAACAATTCGAACCCCAAATCCTTGATTTTCTGCGTGGTTTGGTGGGCGGTGTGGGCAGGCGCGTTGTCTTGCAGAAAGA